TTGAACCGCCAGCCTTCTGGTTAGCAGTCAAGAGCCTTAGCCACTATGCTACCAGAGCTCCTACACATATACATACATACATATACAAAACCAAAGATTATTAGTGGTTACCACGGGTAGGAGGGAGAGAGAAGGCGGAAGGGGGAAGCTTTTATTTGAGGGGCACTGAGTTTGTGCGAATAGGTGGTAGAGTATTTTGGAAAAGAACAGCAATAAAAGTGGCAAAGATGAAAAATGTAATCGATGTCCCAGAGCTGTGAATGTGGATACTGTTATGCTGGCGAATATCCTGTTGTGTATGTATTCACCACAATACAAGTTTTAAAAAAAAAAAAAAAAGGGTTATAGGCAAAGGACGTAGAATAGGTTCTCACAATTCTGAAAGGGAAGAACAAAGTGAGAGGGCGTACATTACCAGATTTTAAGACTTTGCTGCAGTAAGCAAGACAGTGTAGTAAAGGTGTCAAAACATACATAAACCCATGCAACAGAGTATAGTCTAGAAGTAAACTTATACAAATATGGTCGACTAATTATAAACAAAGATACCAAGGCAAATCAATGGGGAAAGAAAAATCTTTTCAGCAAATGGCACTGGAATAACTGGAAAGCTATATACAAAATAATTATTGTTAACCCTTAACCCCTCAACTTAGTCAAGAATTAAAGTGAAATGTATTATAAACCTAAATGCAAAAGCAGGAACTATAAAAACTTCTAGAACAAAACTAAGAAGGTCTCAGCAGCTATAGGGTTAGCAAAAATTTCTTAAAAAGAACAAGAGACACTACTGAAAAAAATAAATTGGACTTCAAAATTAAAAATGTTTTGAGAGGAAAAATTTTTTAGAAGACAATTAGGAAACCTGGGCACTGTAATTTTTAGAAGAATGCCTTCTGCATTTTATCGTGTATTTCAGTACAACTTAAAATAATATTTTAAAGTTAGAAAGGATTTTAAAGGTTATTTATGTAAATATTTCTATCCTATTCGTTTCATAGATGAAGGAACTAAAAATCTAGAAAAGAAAAAGACTTTATCACGGTCACAGAGTTAAGGACAGGCAAATTCAGAATTAAAATTTATATACTTCTTGTTCCACACCAGGATTATTTGCTCTTTACCAGCTCATTCACTTCACTCCTCTTTACAAAGCTATCCCAAGCCACCTGAACTATGATATGGTGACTACAGCATCAAAATACCAAAACCTAACCTACTGCCTCCAACTCATAGAGACCGTAGAGAACACAGCAGAACTGCCCTATACGGTTTCCAACGCTGTAAATGTTCATGGAAGCACATTGCCTCATATTTCTCCCACAAAGGAGCTGGTGGGTTCAAATTACCGATGTTTTGGTTAACCACAAAGCCACCAGAGCTCCAAGCATCAAATTAAGCGCTATAAATTCTGGGCAGATCTCTCTCATGTCAAGATCTACTTCAAATTTAAACTGTTTACTAGAAAATAAAAAGACAATCTATAAACATGAATTTCCCTTCCCATATCAGCTACCAAATATCCTGGGGCACTGCTTTGAATCCTCTGAACAAGAATGAGTATATTTCAAATATAGAGATAGGCAGTGAATGATAAAAACAAGCATGCTTTAGCAGCAAATAAATTAGCAAATTTCCTATGCAAATAAATAGATGAATCTCTTAAGTGGTCTGTATTTTCCTCTTTCTTTCCATTACTCAATAGGCCCCCCCAAAAAATCTATCCAGGAAGGAAATGTTTGTTGTTTAGGAAACATACCACAGAACAAAGCATGATCTGGCCACGTTCCTCCCACATATCAAACTTCTCCAGTATCCTGTAAAACCCAGCCTTTAGGGAACTATTCTTTGAATAAACCATTATTGAAAGAGTTTGGAGAAAAAAGGTAACGAGTTCAGCTTGGTGCAGAAATGGGACACAAGCAATCAGAAAAGGATGAAATACTGCCTTTTCTTCCCTCTCCTGCTAATTGCTTCCATTCCCAAATAACGCCCTCATAAAGTAGACAGAGCTCACAGAGAAAATCTTAGGTTTTAGTATAAATCTATTCCTTTTGATTTTTAAGAAAAAAAAAAAAAAAAAGACAAAATGCTTAATGGTGATAGTTGAACAACATGACAAATATATTTAATGTTACCAAAAAGTACACATGAAGACTGCTGAAATGGCAACTATTTTGTTACTGACATAGTTACCACAATAAAATAATAAAAAAAGATATAGAGCTATTTTTCATTCATTCAATAGAGTAGTATTTACTCAGTATTCTATATTAATGAGTGACTCCAGGGACAAAGTAGTGAACAGAAAAAAGCAAATAAAATTCTTCCCCTCATGAAACTATAATTTAAAAAACAGTATTAGTTTGTATAATAGGGATAAATGTCACAAAAGAGGAGTGCTTAGAATAAATATAACAAGGAAAAATTGAACTAGATTTCAAAGTTCTGAGGATGGCAGAAGCATACTGTTGAGTTCAAAGCCACGTACACAAAATGGAGTAATAATGCAACTCAAAGGAATTTTAGAAAAAAGAAAGGAAAAAGACAAAATCTAGAAATAATACAGATGTATATTGTTATAAACACTGCAAAATTAAATATGAAAGCATAAGACTACCAAATTTGTTATTAGACATGTTGCCTAGGTTACCATATTTAATTCATTCTGTAATTGTTTTGTTAATTAAAATATTGTGAATATCTTGCTCCAGCACTAGTATCAAAGTTCAACAAGACAGAAAATAACAAATGCTGGCGAGGTTGTGGAGAGATTGGGACTCTCATACACTGCTG